TTGGATATATACACAATACTTGCATTTTAGAAACAAAATCTGTATGATTAATTCAAATGATATGTCAATTTAATAACATATGTAAATGTTATCGCTCTCCCTGCCCTCTCTTTAGATGTGCTCACTATATTAAAGGGCACATGCTGAGAGCACTGTATGTCCTAACTGAGCATGAATTTTGATATATGGCGTGTATATGGCATAATAATAGAAGGTCCCCAAACTGTGCTGTTTCATAAAAAAAAAAAAAAACACTGACTTTTCAGAAAGCATGATGCAAAATTGTTCATCTGGAAAGAAACTGACAATTCAAAGTTACTTCAAAGCAAATTGATCACAACAAATACATTTATAGAAATTTAGCATAATATTAAATAATCTTTCAAAATTTATGTTATAAATTCTACAGACAATTAGTGTATAGTATACAAGGGGAAGAACAGCTGGGAGCCTGTGATGAAGGAAGCAATCATGTTTTCACTGAACACAGAACCACTGGTTAGTGACAAATAGTGCTGAAGTGCAAAAAATACATCTTATTTTAGTATGGTTAAAGAGAAAACCACACGCACACTGACTAGGGTCTGTCTCGCCACCTTCTCTTTATCTTTCTCCTTCCCTTCCTGGGATGCAAAAGATAAATATGAATAGAGATAGAAAGACAATGGAAAGAAAATCATAAAAAAGGACAGAAGAGGAAGAAATAAAAACACAAAATACATCAATCACATGCATTAACATATGAAAAGAAACAACATGCAGAGCTTATTGCTCCTATTTTGAGTATGTATAAGTCTAGGTCTTTTGCGAATTGGGAATGTCCATTTATAAAGAGGTAAGGCAGGTATTGATGTGCTGAGGTTAATACAAAATGCAATGTTCAACACATATGAATATGCTTTTACATAAATTATGTTTTGAAGACAATATTCCATGTGAAAACATATCACAAAGAACCATGCATTATGCCTGTCAACACTATGAATACACAACATTACCACATGACACCACATAGAAGACATTACAAAATATATTATGGAAGAATACTGAACATAGCTATGTATTAATTGAACATAGTTACGTATTATGTTTAACATTAACATCAAGAACATATGTAAATTATTGTGAACAACACACAAGTCAGATTTGTTTCACATGATAACACACATAAGACGAGAAGTAGTTATTGAAAACTAATAAATTTGATAAACTTGATAAAGAATACATAAAATTTTTATAAAATGATTTAGAAGAAGTTTTAAATCTGAGCAAGAACTGAAAACAAAATATGACATATGATACAATTACATACATGTATGTATATACAGTAAAATACTTTATTTTCACTTGGAATTAATTTTCGCTATTTTCGCTGAAGGAATGATTCAGTGAAAATAAAATCCAGTGAATACATGTATACCTTTTACCTATGCTAGTATTTTACATTCAACTTGTCAGAAATCAATGAAAACAAGTCATTGAAAATGACACAGTCCCTGTTAAATTAAGTTCTCTTTGTGCTCGTCATATTAAAGCGAAGGGGTTGTCGCGAGCGTGTCCTTGAAACTTGAGTTCCAAGTGACGTATACAACAGATTGTTTATTTACATCAAAACACGTGTTCCGTGTAGTAGTAATATGGCCAAAAATAAAAACAGCCGTTATTCGGCCATCTTTGATCTGATTATGAAATACAATGATATGTATGATGTATTTGCCAAATACGAATCAAAATGGTACATAAATTGTGGAAATATAGTAGTAAGGCAAAAAGTCAGATGGCTGTCAATCGGCCATCCTTGACCAGATTTTGAAACAAATTGTCATGGACATGCATCCTAACATGTATAAAGTACATGTATGTGCCAAATTTGAATGATAACTGATAGAGCACGTCCAAGATACCGCATAAAAAAAACAACAAGATGCCTGCCAGTCAACCAATTGCGAAATAAATCGTCATGGACATGTGTAATCTATGTACCAAGTTTGAATGACAACTGACAAAGCATGTCCAAAATACAACATTTTAAAAAAACAAGATGGCTGCCAGTTGGCCATTTTAAATCGAATCGCTAAACCACTGCATGTGCATATGTCCTACATAAGGTACTAGGCACATGCAAAGAATGAACGGAATCGGTCCACAGGATTCTGAAATATGACTCTGGACAGACTGACTCAAGAACTCACGGATGGTCGGGGACATATATTCTAACATGTATGATGTACATATGTACTAAATTTGAGTAAAAACTGACAAAGCATGTCCAAAATACAACATTTTCAAAAAACAAGATGGCTGCCAGTCGGCCATTTTGAATCGAATTGCTAAACCACTGCATGTGCATATGTCCCACATAAAGTACTAGGCACATGCAAAGAATGAACAGAATCGGTCCAAGGGATTCTGAGATACGACTCCGGACGGATGCATGCACGCACACACGCACTTCATCCGAACGGGGACCAATAAATTCTATACAAAACACCCAATATGTCTTTTCAGTGAAAATTAATTCAAGCTAAAATAAAGTATTTTACACTAAGTATATATTATCAGACAGACTGGACAGGAGGGGAACGAATAGAAAATAATAATAGAACACACAATAATAGAGACAGTGAAATTAGGGAGAGGGGCTCCAGATAACAATTATAATGAGATTCATTGTGTTCCATTTTTCTTACTCTTCTCATCACATTTCTCAGTAGTTAAAATATGATAAAGTCAAGAAATCACATTTTTCGCTTGGCAGAGTTATTTCTATTATTGAGAACTGTGATTTAAATATTCGTAAGTAAACATCACAAAAGCAAATAACCAATCAGCGCTTGTTTAAAGAATGTGCTTACATGGTGATGATGCTGCGGAGACGGGCTAAACGGTTGTCTGGCAGGCGTTTGGGCAGTCATCGATGATGCAGGTGCAGGTCCTCCTGGTGCTGCCGATTTCTGCTTAACATTCACAGGCTGCACATTCTGAGAGTAGAAAACAAGATTGTTGATAATAATATTTATTTTCAATTAATAGCTCACCCAAAAAAATAAGGTCCTAGGTCAAAGGTCAAGGTGCAGATTCAAATCAGGTGACTGATCATAACACATCAGAATATTATACTCTTATTTGAATATTTTATTTTGTATAATTTTTTTTAATGATTTATTTCACACCTGTATTGAACTCATTTATCTGGCAAGCACTATGAATATATCGTACCGGTATACTCAATCACATAAGACCATCAAAAGAAGAAAAAGATGAAGAAGCAAGTGCACATTCATTATAAAGTTTTACAATTTACGACAGCACCTCCCTTTAACGTAGAGAACAAAAGCAACCCATGCCATTTTTCATATTATCCAGAGTGCATTATGTTGTATATGAAGTGCAGATAGGTTTAAACAAAGAAACCAAAACACAATATACTACAAGGTATAGAAAGACGGCTTGCTCTGTAGCACCATTAAGAAAATTCTATTTTACATATAAAAAAAAAGTGTTTACTTTATTAATGAAAGAAAGAAGTTTTTGGTATGTAATAACCAAAACACATAACAATGACATGATCTATGGAGAACTACTGCAACTGTGCCATACATACATACTATAATCCAGTTAAAAGATATTGTGAAAATATCATAAAATAACACATGATATCTTTGTGAGAATTGGGATGAGTTAAACACAGCAGCACATATAACTAGTTAAAAGTACCTGGGCACCAGCTTGTTGTTTTTGCATTATCATGAGCTCCAGTTTCTGAGCGACAGCATTGTGAAAAAAGCATTTATCATATATAAGTTAATGTGTATTACAGTTTATGAGAATGATGATTCTTAACTTACCACTCACCCCTATTATGGGAATGGTGCAACCCCTTTATTACAGCAATGGGTTGTACTGTTAACATGGTGGGGGATGAGAAGGTTGGTGATTTGGAAGGTGGGAAAATGAAAGAGTGCGGTTGGTGTGCACTTAATATTTATGATATAAAGGTGGTGAAAAAACAGGAGTGAATTCAAAATCAACTTCAAAATCAGAACCAGTGTCTTTGAGTTGCCATCTCTTGACAAAACTGGTGCACTCACAGCGAGGAAAGTGTTAACACCTTTGTCAAGAAATGGAAATTCAAATTAAAAATTAATCAGATTAAACACAAAGACAACAATCTGTAAACACACAAAAAATGTCCAGGAACGTGCTGGTATCAATTTATAAACTGAAAATGAAATGTACATGTAGTAGTGAAATTAAAACATACACAGTGGATATTCATTTAACATCAATATGCATTAATTTTACATCTGCACACATTCGCACGAGTGCTGATGCCGGTCAACTGTTAATATAGCTAAATACTGTAAACCAATCAATTTTCAGATCGACAATGTAACTGTCTTGATCTGATGATTTAAATTGGTTGTCAAAATACACTCTCATCAATACTTTCTTGCAACATTGGCATATTTCTAGAAACATGGCCAAATAACATTAACTCACTGTCATATGTTTCCTGCTACAATATTTCCAAATTTTAATTGACTTGTGTGGTTCACCAAAATTAATTTCTATCAAAATTACAATGGTATACATGTACAGCTATTGTCGGTGACACAAACTGTATTCATTCACACACACTCATGGAAACACTATGTTTTGACACACATGTCTGGGTCTGCATTTGTTAACAAAAAACACAGTTGGTGTAAATCAAACATATAACATACACAATTCATCTGCGGTATCTTACCTTCAAATCTGACATTTTATGATTAGAGATATATGTGTTTGGTTTATGGAATATATACAGAGTCCTGTAAATAAAGAATAGTTTCATGCATGATAAACATAACAGAATCAGATCACTATTACAAACAGCAGGTGACATATGCAGGACTGAATGCAGGGTCAGCTTGTACACTGCGAGAAATTTGTAATTTTCGGTATTATTCGCTAATGATATATGTCTATGAACTAAATTCTCTACTTTCCACTCACTTGAAGCACTTTGCAAAATCCTCGAAATGCATCCAGATATCTTTCTGAACCGGTGCCACTTTCTCCTTCTCTTTGTCATCTTCTTCCTGCTCTTCATTGGATGAGCCGTCGGCTTTACTAGCAGTTTCTGTCAACAACGACATCGCATCAACATCGCCATCACCAGGTTTCAGTGAACTATCTGAAAATGTTGATGCCCACAAAGATGGAAAATAAGTTTATTGAATACTTACAATAGCTGTCTGTCACATTTCAGTTTATGAAAGATATATAGACAGTATGGTATAATATTGAGTGACAAAATATGCTTGATACTGAGATTATTTCCCTTTTGAAGATGTGCTCAGCAGGTTACAGTTCTGTACTTGTATATTGCAGAGAAGACAAGAAAAATTCTTAGTACACAAGAGAATGTTGAATAGGTTAACCAAATAATAGATATACTTCAGTAAGCCAACAGGCGTTACCAATATTTCAAGGTTGAGAAGTCAAAATTGAGAGCACAATTTTACCATCATGTGCACATGATGTGCTCACATCATTAACTTCATGAACCTCTTAGAAAATCAGACGGACAGACGCATGGAACGGAGAGGGTTATTAAAGTGTATACAAGAAACATAATAAATTTCAACACTAACCTTTTTCTTTCAGGTCTTTTGGATCTTTTCCAATTGGTGTTAACTTTTCTTTGTCTGATTTCTCCATTTTTTCACTTTTAAGCGATGGAGCTTTCTCAGATTCTTTCCTCTTTAGACCTGAGCTCAGTTTCCTCCCTTTTCCTGGTTCCTGTAGATCAACCAGATTAAAATAAACACCTTCTAGTTTAAGGTCGAAAAATCAATTCCATTTGGAAAGTATTAATTTTTTTTAACTGATCTGCGCTACTGCATCATTTTAGTTTTGTCATTTTTGTTTCATTAATGGGATCATTTTCAAAACCAAACATTGGTGAATATTTAGTTATTGGCAAACAAACAAATATTCTGTTAATAGTCGATAAATCAATATTTTGTTATGGGCCATTATACAAACATTGTTATGGGCCAATGTACAAACATTTTGTAATTCGCCAATATACCAATATTTAGTCATTGGCAAATGTACCAACATTTTGTGATTGGATAATACACCAATATTTAGTAATTGATCAATATACCAACATTTTGTAATTGGCCAACGTACCAATATTTAGTCATTGGCAAATGTACCAACATTTTGTGATTGGATAATACACCAATATTTAGTAATTGATCAATATAACAATATTTAGTAATTGGCCAATATACAAGTATTTAGTAATTGGCCAATATACCAATATTTAGTAATTGGTCAATATACCAACATTTTGTAATTGGCCAACATACCAATATTTAGTCATTGGCAAATGTACCAACATTTTGTGATTGGATAATACACCAATATTTAGTAATTGATCAATATAACAATATTTAGTAATTGGCCAATATACAAATATTTAGTAATTGGCCAATATACCAAAATTTAGATTTAGTAATTGGTCAATAAACCAACATGATTTTGTAATTGGCCAATATACCAATATTTAGTAATTGGCCAATATACCAATATTTAGTAATTGGCCAATAAACCAACATTTTGTAATTGGCTAATATACCAATATTTAGTAATTGGCCAATATACCAATATTTAGTAATTGGCCAATATACAAATATTTAGTAATTGGCCAATATACAAATATTTAGTAATTGGCCAATATACCAATATTTAGTAATTGGCCAATATACCAACATTTTGTAATTGGCCAATATACCAATATTTAATAATTGGCCAATAAACCAACATTTTGTAATTCGCCAATATACCAATATTTAGTTATTAGCCAATATACCAATATATAGTAATTGGCCAATATATCAACATTCAGTAATTGGCCAATATACCAACATTTTGTAATTGGCCAATATACCAATATTTAGTAATTGGCCAATATACAAATATTTAGTAATTGGCCAATATACCAATATTTAGTAATTGACATATATACCAACATTTTGTAATTGGCCAATATACCAACATTTAGTTTATTAATATCATCTTTTGAAAATAAAAGAATTTGAGATGACATAGTGGAGTTGTCGGTTCAAGCAAGATAATAATTTTATTCTACAGCAACAAAAACATTCAATGCGACTAGAATTGAGATTCTACTTTGCTAATGTTATGTAAATGAGTTTACCTCAATTTTTTCCAGTTTTGCTGCACTTTTTTCTCTTTTGTTATCTTTCTTTTCATCTTTAGCTCCTTTCTTGCCATCCTTACCATCTTTAATGGAAGGAGTGTCTGGTTTAGGGAAATCAAGCTTCTGTAGACAAGAAATTATGCAATTCAGATAATATCACACTTTCCCAAAATTTTGCTAAATTCATGATATACCGGTATTTTGATTTCCAAGATTTCAAAACACATTTGTTGACAGGACTACTTTGTAGATAAAAGAAGATGAAGGTGATGAAATGATTGCCATTGCCATATATAAGAAGAAACTTTACAGTAACTTCATCTATCAGTCCAATAGTAACCTCACTATTTAACAGTTATTTTACCTGGTTATCAGGAGGAGATTCTTCTTTAGGTTTCTCTTTTTCTTGTTCCTTCAGCTTCTGTAGCAATTCTTCCATTTTTTCAGGGTTATCTTCATCAATTTCTGTCATTATCTCACCCATCAATGCAGTACTTGGACGGGAACCCCCTCCTCTGGAGAGAGAAGACTTGGGCCTCTTACTGGAAAATAAATATTTTCAAATTATTACACGAAGTTTTTATATGCAAACTTTATTACTACAGTGCAATAATTACAGCAAGTCTTGTTTATTTCACATTAGAAGTCAACATTAAACTATTCTACTAAAAGTATGAAAACTCTCATCATTACACAATGATTTGTGACAATTTGAATATTTTTGAATAAATATGTTTTTGTCCACTCATACATATTATTAACAAAACATACTAAGTTGATTTAACTATATGAAAAGCAGTTATAGTAGAAGTGTTTCCCTTGCCAAGCTTGGTATTGAAGTGTTGCTACTTACGTATCAGTCGGTATGGGAATTGGGCTGACTTTGTAATTAACATACGGGGAGGTGACTTCTATCCATTGTTCAGGTCTTTTTATCTCAGGCTCTGCAAAGTCAGAATATATCTTTCATTACTTCAACAGATTGCAAAAAATTGGCAAACACATGGAGGTATCAGTAAAAGAAGATATCAATACAGAGTAATGTAAAACACTTCAATTTTAAGACACATTGCTCATTGATGCCATTTTCTCCATTCCTTTTGGGAGGTTTTCAGTAGAAGATGTGTTGAGGCAAATTAAAGGTAAGTAAGCTACCAATCCAATAGTGAAACTTGCCTTAACTGAGTACAAAATAAACTGAGATTGTTCGGTTCATGATTAGTTTATAGAAAATATAGAGAAGGAATTAAAAAAAACATGTAGACAGGTTTTCTATGGGTTTCTGTTTACAGTGTACATCTTAGGTTGTTACCTATATCTGCATAATTCAATATATAAAGCTATATAGAAATAATACAATCAGGATATGGAATGTAACATTACCTGGTGCCTGATCATGCGGCGTAGTTTTCTTCTTTTTCTGTCTGATTAATTTCCATGCTGGCACAACTGGAGGTGGTGGGGGAGCAACCAATGGACAGGAACGTGTACGCGTTAAAAGTAATGGATGGGGAAATACATGTGATAGCCCAGACTGACGTAGACGTTCAGACGCATCAGCCTGTAATGCAATATGTAGCGTATGTGTTAATGACATAAACTCAGATTGCAATTACATGGATATGTTCATATGTTCACCTTATTAATACCTATTATGTTACCTATTTTGTAATAGGTAATTTTCCGTTCACGGGATGATTATGCATAATATGTAAAAGGCTGGGACTAAAAGTCAGCCACAAAAATCAAATAATTTGATTTCAAATTTTTTTTTTGTAGTCTCAAAATGTTGATCTTTCAGGTGGGAACATGGTGTTGAGATACTCTTACTTCATCAAAACTGACCATCATGAAATGTGTATAGCGCAATATTAAGTGTGGAAATACCCAAAAGTACTTTTGTGTTTGTAGAATCCCACGCTATATTATGTTACACAATGATTGTATGACTTTTGTTTGTCCTATTTTAACGTTTTATTTGATGCATGACACAGGATCTTGCAGTGAACGAAAAATGATTGATTAGGAAGTTTTTGAATTGAAATATACTGTACATGTGAAAAAGTGTACCCTATTATTCTTTACCAGCTACAATGTAATATATACATTTGAACATATAAATTCAGCATTATTAGACTCAAATTAATGCATTTCCATCACTCTGTCAACATTCAGCTCCATTATGGAAAAAGTTGGTTAAGGATTGCTCATAAATTCTGATAATTATGTCTCAGTGCCGTCTCTCAACTCGAGTTACCTATATTCGCCTACAGTGCATATTTTATTCAAATGCAAAGTTCAATACACCCTGCATTATTAGAGCACCCATACCAAATTGGTTACTATATGTATGTGTACATATACAATTATGATGAAACGATTAAAACAAAATGTTTTCTTACCATTTCTCCCAGCAATGATACTCTGGCCGGAACTTTGGGTGGATTTTCATAGCTAATGAAGATAGCCACCTGTGGACCCATAGAAACATCACCTAAAATTGCATCTTTATCTATAGTGGCAAAGAAATATACAGCTCATGATGAGACTATGACACATATGGCAGGCAGCAGAGCTCCAAATATGGTAGTCATGACCGAATAGGGAAGCATGGAGCCAAATATGGAACACAGGTAAAGGATTTTTGTCTGCCAAATATGGAATCATGGTATTGAAAGCCATTCTGCCAAATATGGAAATGTTAAAGCCAAATATGGAATGATTTAGCATAATAGGCATGTAAAACCAAATAAGGAGGTATCATGAATGTTGAAAGCTGAATATAGAACAACCAAACCAATTCCAATAAAATATCTATTGAACAAAATTAAAATTAACAAGAAATCTACTCTATAAATTTTGAAAATGAACAGTAATAAATAAACTTTGGTGAAAAACCATTATTTGTTTTTTTGCTTTTTGGGTTGTACCTGGTAGTTTAGACATAACACCAATGATATGGTGATGCTCAGACATTATTTCTGTAATCATTACCCCAATTATAGGGAATGTTTGGAAATTATTTGATTACTCCAATGATGTAGGGGTAAGACAAAAATCAATCAACATCAATAAAAGAGTTGGCTATCTAGAAACAGAAGTTTCAAGATTTCAATGTTATAAATTAATCAAAATGTACAATAAAATAAATTTACGGGTGACTGAAGTTAACAAACCATTCTTTGCAATAATAAAGGAGATAAGTACGTAATAATACTAATGGTTAGACGCACAACAAAACATGTATTTCTGGTGTTCACACACTGAAAAATTCATTTGGAAAATATGCAAGAAATGGCAGCAGTGACCACTGATGACCCCCAGGTCACGGTGAAATTTGTAAAATCAGTAAATAAACAAACAATTGAATTTCATGTCCTGCTAAACCGCTTTGAATTTAGCAAAATATTTTCAAGAATTTCACAAAGTCAGTAATTTCACACAATTCTGTTCTCACAAAAAATTGTCAAAAATCTGTAGCAGCAAAATTAAATAGGTTACAGTTTTCATTCTCAGCAAAAAATAGAAAATATACCAGAAACAATTTTTTTTTTTTTTTGCTGGGCTTTAATTCTACTACTAGTAGATCTAAAAAACAAAGTTACCAGATCACATTAATTGGGAAATCTACAACACAAGTTTGAGGTGACTTTAGTTCTTAAAAACAGTTACTATTAAAATCAATGATGATAAACCAATCACAACTTTGAATGTAAAAAAAACAACAGATTTTTAAAACAGAATGAATCCTATAATCTGTAAATAGCCATTCCCAAACCAGAATTATTATCATTAATATTGCAATTAGTGCAAAAACGTTACAAATATTAGACACAAACCATTATAATTAACCCAAACATCTTTTTTAAGTTTTAATAATAATAACACACAAGTAAGACAAGCGTTTGTTTGACATTGACAAATTTCCCCAGCACATGTACATTATCATACGCAATATGGTCACATGCATTTAATATTTTACACCTTACACTTGGCAGGGGTGGTGCAATTATCATCCAACCATGCAATTAGGAAAAAAAAGAAAAAAAATAGAAAAAATCTTGAAAATCGTTCCCAAACTTTGTACATGCATTATACTTCCATTAGAGTGCACTAGATGGATCTGAATATTGAAATGTACATAGTGCATGGGTAAATTTGCATACTGCCAAGCACAGGTCAAAGAGACACACCTATCCCAGGCTCCCCCTGTGTACCCGGTCCTTTATTCGTAGATAGCAGGATGGTAGGTAGGTCAATCAATAATAGCAGTTGGTTGGTCGGTAGTTACCAGTACACAGACGATACGTACCCAGAGTGAACGGAAGCAGTATTTAACAGTTAGTGAGTTGTCGTTGGATAATAAAAAAAAAAAGGAAACATGCAAAGAAATATACAAGAGATAGAAAAAGAGATTCATGCTCTATTGAGAAAAGCACATATCTTTTTAACATCCCACGTGCACACTACAAAAATATCACAGCAAGCTATGCTAACCAACATTTTTATACATTAGTAACATTTCTACAGAAATATTGAATTGGAATTCCTCAATTGTATTGCAAATGCTAAAAAAATTGCAGTGCTGTCTCTAAAAATTGGTAACAGGAGCTAACAGCGCTGCACAAAAAATGTGGTATACATGATGCACGGAAAGCATCTCCGTCAACGGAGCAGGCTTTATAAAATCCTGATTTCAGTTTCTCATTTCATCGGTACACTTTCAAAACATGAAATATAAATTAAATATATGAAGTTATCAAATTAAGGATATTGGTAAATTATTAATAATGTTATATAATTAAAACTCTTGTTTGTAAATAGAATGATAAAGTTAAGGTTAACATCAATCCAACAGACCAAATTAGCATAAGAAATATTCGGATAATCTCCTTGATCGCAAACTCATAATCCAATTCCTTATGAAATGGGTATTAACGGATTATTTTGGAAGGTTTTTTGCTCTATGTTCTTGTTATTAATGAGTGCAGGGGGATTTGTTAAAGGCAGGAGGTGATAAGCTGGATGGTGATTCTGGAGTTATATATATTAATATCTGACAGCATAATATCACATGCAATCCACAATATACATGGTAAATTTATTATTAACTATGTGGTAATCAAAGCAGTGCATGCATTCAACTACAATAGGATACAACAGATGAGAAAAGAAAGCACCAACACACAAGTTCCCACCCTTCCCATGGTTACGACTGGTTACTATAGCAACACACCACCATAAACTAGTAGTTTTAATGTTATTCTCTAGCAGGCATTGTTAGCACTGTCTTTCATTTTACAGTCTTACTTTTGTCCTTGTCTTTATCTTTGTCCTTGTCTTTTTTATCTTTCTTATCCTCTTTATGGTCTTTTTCTTTTGCTGGTTTCTCGGGTTTGTCAGATTTTTCTGTTGACCAAAAAACACAATATACTCAGTACATGCACTGAGTGCAAAATTAAACAAATTGGACAGACAAAAATGGTTTAGTATAGTGCTACTCAACAAATTACAGTTTGTGTTATTTTTACTCTTCCTTGGTGAGTAACAATGGTGGTAAATTGACTTGGAAGCCACCAAATATTTTGTGGTAAAAGATGTCTTCCACACATCATTTAAAAAACTACCTTTCTATTGATCATGAGCATATGATGGACATCTCAAAAAAAAAATACCAAAATGTTTTCTTGATGTCTGTAAAGATGAATAATCTGATCAACATACATTTTTCTATCGCTCTAAAAAGTTGTCATACTCTCCAGATTACTTCATCATCATTTGAACACAAAGATGGTAATACATCTTCAATTTATGACTTCTGAAAATGAGTCCATCATGGATTCAATACGTCTTTTATATTCTACCTTTTTCCTTATCTTTACCGTCTTTTCCTCCCTTTTCATCTTTTTTACCATCTTTTCCAGCAAGCTCTATTTCTGCTTTGCTACCATCTTTCTTCATGGAATCCAACTCTGGGAGTTTCTGTTCCCCTGGTTCAGGTAGAGTAAACTCAGGCAACAATTTTTTTACCAAGTCCCATACCTGGTGTATATGCCCATACCTGGAATACAGCAAATTATACCAAATTAGTACATAATCCATATTTGGTAATGACTCTGTTGTTGAATATTCATACGGGAGGATGTATAGTTCCATATTTGGTAATGACATTGTTTTTGCAAATTTGAAAGAAAATGCATTGTTGAATATTCATGAGAGAGAAGGTACAGTTCCAAATCCATATTTGATAATGGCACTGCTGTTGAATATTCATGAGATAAAATGGATTTTTCTTTGGTAAACATTGTTATGAATATTCACAAGGGTATGTGTAGGTAGAATTCTTTATTTGGTATTGTCATCAAGGGGCAATCATACACCCAGGTGGAACGAAAAACACACCAGGTTACAATATTCACTGCATCTGGGACTTCAGTCAATATGGAGCAATACTACAAAATGACCAAACATGAAAACCATAAAACCAGCTAAAACACAGCCATGCAGCTGAACATAAAACTTCATGCAATGTATATTTTCTCAGGGTTCTCCCTAAATATTCAAAATAAAACAACTTATATTACTGTTGAAGAATAACAGAAATCTCAAATTTAAATATAAACGATGATTTGGTTTATATATATGCACAACGTAGTTATACCACCACTAGCACATGTTTAAATTACACAGTCAACAAACCTGAACAAAAAAATTAACGCAGTCAAACTTGCACACTACCGTAGTTTTCTATCATTTGTTTGAAAATCCTTCATTTTACCCACATGTAGGGAGAACCCTGTCATCTGCCTTAGTCCTATCTAGTCACTAATACTTGCCAAGCCTGACTGTTAATCTCCATTCTATTCTCATCCCTAATACTATCATCCTTGTCTTCTGCTTTCCCAAGACCTACTTTATTCAATAACTTCTTATAAATAGCATTCTCTGCAATGGCTCTGAAAAAATTAGTGATCCTACCTAAATTACTCCATATCGTGCAAGTATGTTTGTGAGATACATGTAATGTTAGTACAATAGACAAGTTTTGACTTCTTTTTTTTCCATTAGATTTGTGTGATTCTCAAAGAATTGTAAGTGAGATCATTGATCGGAGAGAAGAAATGAAATAAAATTTTATTCCATGTATAACCTTGTTTCTCATCTGCGCGAGACTTCGGTACTTTGATCATGATACTCCCACGAAAATTCAACTTGAGTTTGTTATACGGCGAGCGAAAAAAAAATGAAGATATAAATATTTTTTTTTTAGCAATTTTTTGCACTTACAAGTCGGCGGCGGGCGCGAGAAATTACGCTGAAATAAAATTTTATTTTTATTTCATTTTTGGCTCCTGTTCATTCGGCGGGTTCACGAAACAAGGGATAATAAAAGACTGGCCTTATGCTGCATGTACAAAGATGATATAAATTTGTTGCTTCATTGTGAGTGTGTGATTGAAAAATATATTTTCTATATATTTATCAATATATTGTTAACTTTCAAGGTTAACATGCAAGACTGCAATACAAAATCTTCCTGAAGCTAGTATAGTAAAATATTTGCCCCAAAATGGTATATTCCTACTGACCACAAATATCAATGTGGGTCACCCCCTCCCCACCTTTTGTCCACATTATAGCTAATCAACCAGAGAACTCAAAACTTGTCTACTGTGAATAGCATACAAGTGTTTTACAGAAACCTGAAATTGAATACTATTAAAAAATACAAGAAACAAACAAGATTCCTTCTATATCTGCGTATCACATCAAATACATAAAATTTTATTTCATAATAACAGCAACAATGTTGTTTTTGTCCATAAAAAAAATTTAAATAATGTTTTCTGAATTAAACCAGGTAAATATGAATTAGACAATATTTCTATTTTACATACTGTAAAATATTTTATTTTACATTCAGCTCATCAAAAATCAGTGAAAATAGATTCCATACAAATCACCCCAAAAGCCTTTCCAGCGAAAATTAATTCCAGCTAAAATAAAATATTTTACAACAATCTTCACATCTCTGAGATAATATAACTTTTTAGTTAATTGGACTTACTGTAATGGTATAGTCTCTGGTAGCCATCCTGTTAGAACATGTATGATAGTAACGTCACCAAATTCACTATTATTACTGCCACCATTGTAACTGCAATGTTATAAAGAGAAAGATGTCCAATAAAATCACTAGTGTCCACTCTAAGCATTATTTTTGCAAAATTTTCCCAGTGGGGTGTCCAAATTACTTCCGATTTAAGGTCAGAGATAAAAATTATAACATTTGCCAGTGCCAAGTTTGCACTGAAACACCGGTCATCAATATTTTGGAAATTAGGGCTTTTCTCTACAAAATATGGAGTTCACATTATAATTAGAATAGTACTTACTCTAGAGAAGCTACTTTGATGATTGCCTTAGTTAGTAACATTGGCCATAACTCATTTTGTACTGTTGTGGATGGTAATAACATGTTTTCATTGTCATCAAATGGAATGGTATCGTCCACTATTATCTTACGCCAACAACCCTATAAGAAACATGCATCACATTAGATGAGATAAATTAACACACATCTATGTCTATGTAATATTCATATGGATATGTTTATTTATGATATTTTTATGAGTGTCAGATTAATATTTAGTAATATTGCATATCATTATACATCTGTCACCGTAACGCCATAAGTTACAGTGTGTCATAATTTTGAGGTATTTTACAGGGTATTTTCATCCTACCATATAAGGAAATATGAATTCCAAA